CTTATCCAAGGGCATTGTGATCTTGCATGACAATATATATCCGCACACTTCTGCCCACACTATTGACATTCTGCAAAAATTTCATTTTGAGGTGTTAAAGCATCCTCCCTATAGTCCTGATCTTGCTCTATCAGACTTTCACTTTGGTTCCCTGAAAGCAGCCCTTCAAGGACGAAGATTCACCTCTGATGAAGAAGTGAAGAGAGCAGTACACTTGTGACTCATAGCTCAGCCTAAAACATGTTTTAATAGAGGATTCCAAAGCTTGTTGACAGATGGACACAGCACATTGAAATGCAAGATTATGTCAAAAGATGATTTATTTGTCTTTTCTATAAGTTGATCCAAATGAATTCTACAGCCAGAGTACGGATAATTTTTGACTCACCCTCACAGATAGTTTATTTTATCAAGAAAGCCTCCCCTCGCCCCTCCCCCATTTTTTTTTTTTTTTAACTTTTTACAACATTGGTCTCATACAATGTTTGTCCTTTTTTGATTGACTAATTTCACTCAGCAGAATGTCCTCCAGGTTCAACCATGTTGTGAGGTGTTTTCTGTGTGTCTGTACCAAGGTTTGTTTAGCCATTCTTCTGTTGATGGGATTTAAGCTGTCTCCATTTTTTTTGGTGTGTCTCTTGTGGACAGCATTCTGTTCTGTCTCTTGATTGGTTCATTTAATGCATTTACAGTCCGTGTAATTGTCTATAGATATGAGTCGATTGCTGTTATTTTACTATTTGTTTTTTGGTAGTACTGGCTTCTTTATTCCACATCATTTTCTGCGCTGTGTTCATTTTGTTTGTGAGTTTTCTTTACATTGTCATTTCTGTAGTGTTAATGTTTACTAAATCTTTCCATTTTCTTCTTTTTTAAAATTTTGATGTGCAGGTGTATTAATTTTCTTTGAGGTTACCTGTAGCTTATTATTTTTTTCCCTGTTTAAAACAACGTGTTTTATCTTGAAATCTACTTGACTTCCTTTTCATTTGGAGGTTATGTAGCTAAGTGACTCCCATTTTTGCTTTTTAATTGACTTCATTATAAATTGCCATCTCTGGTTCCCTTATCTATATCTTTATCTAGATTGAGTTTTGGGTGGTGTTGCCATGTATGGTAATCTCAGGTTAGTGTCTGCTGTTGTTCGTTCTTAGTCCAAGCAATACCCTTTAGAATTGTTTGCAAAGTTGGTCTGGTCATTACAAATTCCTTTAATTTCTGTCTTTTAATTGGTTGGCCAGGTAACAGTCATCTATTCAGTTGCTTCATATTCATGTGTAAGTTGGACAATGAAAAAAAAGGCCATAGAAAAATAGAAATTTGAATTATGGTGTTTGCAAAGAATGCTGACAGACCCATTTCAAAGAAAGGTGACCCAGTAGAATGCAGAAATAATCAAACAAAATCATTAATATCATTGTGGTTATTGGTTATGTGTCATCAAGTCAGTTCTGACTTATAGTGACCCTGTATAGAGTTTCCAATGAGGCAAATCTTTATGGGAGCAGAAAGCCTCATCTTTCTCCCGCGGAGTGGCTTGTAGTTTCGAACTGCTGACCTTAAGGTTCGCAGCCCGATTCATAACCACTACGCTTCTACAAATCTGTTGTTGTTGTTATGTGCCTGGAGTCGGTTCCGACTCATAGTGACCCTGTACAGGGTTTCCGAGGCTGTAAATCTTTACGGGAGCAGAAAGCCTCATCTTTCTCCCACGGAACAGCTGGTAGTTTCGAACTGCTGACCTCTCGGTTCGCAGTCTGATTCGTAACCACTACGCTACCAGAGCTCCTTTACTACTAATCTGTAGTGAACAAAATTTCAGATTTTTTACCATATCAAATATGCTCCTTCTAGGTATGAAGTGCTGCATTCCAGAACTTACTTACTGTAGCTTACTCATTTTTTTTCTCTTTCTTAACAAACCATCAGTAATTATTTTTCCACTAAGAGAAGAATAACTTTACTAAGTGTTCTTTGCTTGCAAAAGAATCTTTATTAAAACATAAACAATGTCAACTATGCAAGTGAAGTGACCAGATCATCTTGAAAATACTTCTCTTAGTAGGACCTCTTGTTTTTAAACTCTTGGTTTGGTCATAATGAGACCGCAGAGGCTCTGAAGGATAAGCATCGGAAGTTAAGCATAAGGTCCGCAATTTGTGCCCACCAGCGCTCCGTGGGAGAAAGATGAGGCTTTCTTCTCCTGCAAAGATTTAAAGTCTCGGTAACCCTACACAGGGTGGCTATGGGTCGGAACCAACTCGGCACTTTACAATAACAACATGAGTCAGAATCGACTAGACAGCAAAAGGATTTTTTTGGTTTGGGTGGTTGAATAACTATTTTACACATAATTGTGTCAGAGTGACTTTGCTGTAAGTGTCTTTATCACACTAAACGATGCAGGTTCTACCTTATCATGTATTGTTCGTGTGACAGTGTTGTCTAGTCACAACTTTAAAAGGAAAAATCAGAGTGACAGTTTGTAAGGGAGATAGTATTCTGTCTCCATGGTTTCATCTGTTGAAATAATTATACCCAGGTTGGAAATTGTGTATTCTCCTGTAGCACTGTGGGTTAGTGTGCTAGACTGCAAAGTTGGTTTGAACTGCTGGTTCACGATCACCAGCTGCTCCTCGGAAACCTTATACAGGGTCGCTGTAGGTCGGAACTGACTCGACAGCACTTAACAACAACAACAACAATGGAGTGAATGAATGAAACAATTGATGAGAGGGCTATGAGGCACAGTGGAAAATGTTGTTCAGACCTCAGAATCCAGACCAGTCTGAACTAGAATCTCAGCTTCTTCTCTATTTACTAGTAATGCTGGTTTAGTAAGGCTTTCCTAACGTCATCTGTTAAATAGGATTAACAGTACCTACCTGAGGGGTTTTTAAGAGGACACCTTGCACCAAGTGCTCAAGCTTCATTAGTCTCCTAACCGTGGCTCAGTTTATACCACTTATGGAAACTCCATGTGTTTCAGCGTAGAACTAGACTCTAAATGCAGTTCTTATCATGACTGGTTTGAACCACAAGATTGATGGTTCAAACTCACCAGCAGCTCCTCAGAAACCCTATACAGGGTTGCTATGAGTTGGAACCAAGCACTTAACAACAATTTTAAAGAAGGCACCCTGGTGGCACAGTGATTAAACACTCATGTGCTAACCAATAGGTTCGTGGTTTGATGAGAAAGCTAGGACCGTCTGCTTCCGTAAGGATTTATAGCATTGGAAACCCTATGGGGCAGGTGTACTTTGTTATACAGCATAGCTATGAATTTAAACCAACTCAACAGCAACAGGTTTGGGGTTTTTTGGTTTTAATCTTAAAGAAAGGAGCCCTGTTTGTGCAGTGGTGAAGCGCTTGATTGCTAACTGAAAGGTCAGTGGTTTGAAGCCACCAGTCACTCTGAGTAAAAGATATGACAATCTGTTTCCATATAGATTGTTGCTGTTACATGCCTTCGAATCGGTTCTGACTCAATAGCAACCCTGTATAGGGAGGGTTTCCAAGGAGCAACTGATGGGTTTGAATTGCCAACTTTGTGGTTAGCAGTTATGTGTTTATCCTTCAGCACCACACCAGGACTCCTCCATATAGATTCTAATCTTGAAAACCCTACAGGACAGTTCTACTTGACCTATACAGTCACGGAGTCAGAATTGACTCAAGAGCAAAAAAGGTTTGTTTTTTGGTTTGGGATTTTAAAGTAGATTACCAGGCCTTTCTTCAGCAGAGTCTCTGGGTAGATTAGCACTTCTAATTAGTTGTTGCTGTTTAAGTGCTCTCTAGTCAGTTCTGATTCATAGCAATCCTGTATAAGGTTTCCAAGGAGCAGCTGATGGGGTCAAACTGCCAACCTTTTGGTTCGCTGTCCAGTGCTGATCCTACAGCACCATATGAGTGACAAGGAACCGGTTTGTTGTTGTTATTGTCAGGTGCCGTAGAGTCATTTCTGAATCATAGCACCCTTATGCACAGCAGGTCCTGCACCATCCCAGGAACTTTCAAGCTGTTGTTGTTGTTATGTGCATCGAGTCGATTCTGACCCATAGCGACCCTGTATAAGGTTTCCGGGGAGCAGCTGGTGATCTTGAACGACCGACCTTGAAGTTCAAACGGCTTTGCAGTCTGACGCATTAACTCACAGCATCACACCGGGACTTTCAAGCTATATTGGGACCTAAATAAATGGTGTTATTATTACAGTGAATCCTTGGTGTTACGTAACAGCGGATATACCATCTAGGGTTCCCAGTGGCATGAGATTTCTGAGTTCAGAGGACAATTACTTACTTTGTTGGGAGAGTAGCAGATGCCAAAGTATAATAAATGTTGACATCCCCAAAGTGCCAGGAAGTGTCCTGCCTTACCTGATAGTCCAATGAAGCGTGACTTTTGGTTGGCCTTTTAGGAGGCCAGTGTATTTTCCAAAGTGGCTTAACATACACAGGGAAGAATGAATTCAATAACAACATCGTTTCTTTCCTGACTATTAACTTCCTTGTTTTTTCTTGCTGAATACCAACGACTAAGAATCTCTTGACAGCGCTTTTCTTTCAAGAATATATTTGCATGTCTGGGTAAATGCCATCCTTTGGGAAGAATGGGTTCATTTTCAGGTCACAGTTTTCTGCGTTCAATTGAAGGCAGTGTAGTATAGTTGGAAGAGTGATGGCTGAGGTCACCTGGAACTCATCTCCATCACTAGTTCATCTACAGAAAATGGGGTTGATGGCTAGGCTTAAGTTTTCTCTTCATTCGCTAAATGCATCAAGTCCTGCCTTGGGTATGAATTAACTTTGTTCACACACGGTAACTGGTGTCCCCGCCGGATTCTGCCCTGGCGGTCGGCGGGGACTTGGTGGGCGCCAGCGTGGCGTTGCAACAGGGCGCGGCCTTAGGGAAATCTCTGGATCCCAGCGTCTCGGTTGCCAGGGGAACCAGGAGCGGCTTGCTTTCCGGCGCAGTCGCGGTGCAGCACAGCTGTCATGGCGGAGACCGTCTGGAGTACTGACACTGGGGAGGCTGTGTACCGCTCCCGGGACCCCGTGCGCAACTTGCGCCTCCGGTAATAGCACCACCCTCGCACCGGAGCCCCGTCCTTTTATCCCTTCAGATAACTCGAGCCTGAACTTCTCAGTGTTCTGAAACTCTCACTTCCTTTTATCATCCTGCCCACATCCTCCCTGGTTCCCCCACATCTCCCAGCACCACCCAGACTATTCTCCGTCCAGAGCCTAGAAGCACTTATTTTAGACCTGCCCAAGCACTCTCAGTCCCAAATTCCTCGGAGCCCTGGGTTCCAGTACGCCCTCATATCCTCCCACCCTTCCCCTGAGAGCCCCATGCTTCACCTACCTCCCCTCGGCCTTCTGCACCCAACCCCCCTTTGGCAGCCGCACCCCGCTGCGTGTTTTGCTTCCCCCCCACTTGCTCTGTGTTCCTCTCCTGCTGAGTGCCTTGTAACACGTATTTTGGACGTCTCTTTTCCTGACAGAGTCCACCTCCAAAGAATCACATCAAGCAACTTTCTCCATTACCAGCCTGCTACACAGCCTGGGAAGGACCTCATAGACTTGGCCACTTTTAGGCCCCATCCCACCGCCAGTGGGTGCTATGGTGGTGATGTGACCCTCCCGGGGGCCTGGGGGAAGAAACTGGGGCTGTATAATAGAGTTATCCCTTAAGGCAGAGTAGACCCAGGTCTACTTTTTCAGCAGCAGCCTTTTTACAGATGAGCAAACTAAGGCATAGGGAAGTTGGGTTCCTTGTCAGTGTTGAATGTTAGAGCCAGTATTTGAACCCAGGCAGTTTTAGCCACTTCACTCTATTGCATATGAAAATTAAGAGAGACATGGGTCCTGCCATCAAGATGCTGAATTGTGGTCAGCTGTAGTGAAATAGCAAATACTTACTCTTTGATATGTTATAGATTTGTCTAGGAACCCAACTCTCTAAATACATGTATGAAAGCTCTTTTAAAGTTGGAAACTGCTAGACAAATGTACCTATTAACATTAACTGTGCTCTTGGGGAAACCAGAGAATGAGAGGAGAGAGAGAGTGAGTTTGTGTGTGTGTGTGTGTGTGTGTGTGTGTGTTTAGGACACTCATCACTCTGTTTTGGTTGTCCTTCTGTTCAGAAATATTCCTGAGGAAGCGTGTGGCTGTGAATTGTGAAACTATATCTGAAAAAGGCTTAGTCAACCAAAAATGGATTAGGGTTTGTTCTTAAAAATGAATAAATAAAATCATTTATTTGACTTTAGTCTCCCCTCTTAAGGTTACAAAGTTTTTGCTTCTAAATGTATAGCTTCAAGATTCTTTTCTAACAAATGCAGGCAGTCGAGCCTCCATCTAAATTTCAGTCCCTGTACTGATTTAATTTTAATAATTCCTGGAAGGCAGGATCTTATTTTATTCCAATTAGAATAGTGGTTAAGACTTCTTGGGTTCTAATCTGGTTTCTGCATATACTAACCAGAGCAAGTATACAGCCTTTCTAGTTTCTGTCAAAGTGAATACTTAATAACTGAACTCCAGTTAGCTTTGTGACAAATGTAATAAGAGCCCAGCCTTTGGTTATAACCAGCCATGGTGCCCTTGGTTTGCCTCAAGTAGTTAACTCACTTGGTTGCCTTTGGAGGTGGACATCGCCCAGATGAAGATGAAGAAGAAGAGGTTGTGATCGGGTGGCAGGAGAAACTCTTTAGCCAGGTGAGCCAGTGTCACCTGTCAGCTCAGCCTACTTCCACCTGGCCCATGTCCACTTGATTGGCAGCAGGGAACGTTCTCCATCTTTGAAAGAGTCTGCTGCCAGCAGGGTTCCCTAGGCCAGTGTTGTGTTGACAGACCCACATCCCTGATTTTAAACAGTGTTTGACTAGGTATCATTGTGTTAAGTAGTATTTGATTCACTGATGATTTTCTGAAATAAGATTCTTGGAAACAAAATAACTGGATTAAAATACTATTTTGAAGATTAGGGATATGTATTGGCAAAATGATTTCCAGAAAGGTTGTAACATTGTAGTGTATACTGTGGTTGGTCTGGCTTGTTGTGTTTATAGGGGCATAGTGAAAAGCAACCCGAGCATCAGGTTTAGGTGAATTGGGGTCAAATCCTGACTGCTATTCAATTTTATGATCTCTGGGCCACACATCATCTGTAGCACAAGAGTTGGATTAGATCACCACTCTGCTTCCTTTCTTAGACTCTCCTGCCCTCCTGAGGTAAATGAGAGCTCATTATGAAAACATGTCAGATAACCTCACTTTTATAGAAATAATGTGACTAGAAAGTTATAGGACCAAAAGTTTGAACCATTCTCAGTAGATCTCTGTTTCTTTGTGGTGTCCTCAGTTTGAGGTCGATTTGTACCAAAATGAAGCAGCCTGTCAGAGCCCTTTGGATCATCAATACCGTCAAGAAATTCTGAAGCTGGAGGACTCGGGTAACAGGAAGAACCGGCGAATCTTTACCTACACTGACTCTGATAGATATACCAACTTGGAGGAGGTATTGTTCTTTCTAAGGCCCCATTAGCTTCCTTCTTGCACTTTGCCTCCCCTTTTGCCTTCCTGGTGGTAGTGGGTTCTGTGTGGTAAATCAAAAGCCTGTTAAGGAGAGAAAGGTCGCCTTCCCAGAAGCTCCTGTGTGCTGCTGGAGTAGAGTCTGCAGGTGGTGTGGCTGTGCTCCCTTCTCTGCCTGCTGGAGGCCTGGAGGGAGCTGGCAGGGTCTCTAGTGATAGCCTTGTAGACTGCAGAGGGGAGACAGGTGAGTAGGTGAGTAGATTCTGGAACAATCTAGATAAAATTCATCAGGGTATTTAGCCAAACCTCAGAGTCACATGGCTCTCTGTGGCCCTGAGCAGATGGGTCACAGAGGGCTGCTCTGTTTCCTCAGCACTGTCAGAAAATGACCACCGCAGCCAGTGAGGTACCATCTTTCTTGGTCGAGCGAATGGCAAATGTCAGGCGGCGGCGGCAGGACAGACGAGGGATGTGAGTGCTGATGTGTGTGGGCGTGAGGGGGCTGGATCTCTGTGGTCCTGCCACAACAACATTCTTGATAATGTCTACTGTCTCAAGCCTCCCATTCTGGAGTGGGCCTCTACCTGGGGTGTGTACCCCTCTCAGCTTTTCATGGGGTACCAGGGAGGTGACGCTCTCTATGGTGTCTTCCAGGGAGGGTGGCATCCTCAAGTCACGCATCGTCACCTGGGAACCCTCAGAAGAGTTTGTCAGGAATAGTCATGTCATTAACACCCCTCTTCAGACAATGTACATCATGGCAGACCTGGGGCCCTATGGAAAGTGAGTGATGCTTCTGTCACCCCGGTTCTCATCTGCGGCTTCTCACACTAACTCTTACCTTCCTGGTAGAGTCTTCCCCGGGCCCAGGAGACAGAAGGACTTTACTTCTTAGTTGTACTTGGGAAAAAGTGTTCCACCAGGACAATTCATCCTACTGATCTCTGTCCTTCCCTGGCAGTGGGTCTGAGGATCCTGAACCTTAATGTTGATTTCCTGGTATTAGGCTTGGCTATAAGAAGTATGAACAGGTGCTCTGTACACTGAAGGTGGACAGCAATGGCGTGATCACAGTAAAGCCTGACTTCACTGGCCTCAAAGGGCCCTACAGGTGAGGAGAAGAAAGGCCACTAGGGAAGGGGTGTTGGCACTGACATCCCTTTCTTTGACTTCACTGTTTGCTCCTAGTTGGTAAGATCCTTCAAAAGTCCTTCATCTGTTCTTTTGAATTCCTAAATAGTGGTTCAGATTCTGTTCTGGGCCATAGATCTTTAGGCAGCAGGGGACCCTGCTCTCAGGAAATGTCAGTTACACCAACGTGAAAGTCATTAACCTTAGTGTTTAGTTAATTAAGAATAATTCTGAGCTACTGAGTGTAGGGACTAACCATGGGGTTAGATGAGATGAACTCAAACCCAGTCTCTTCCTCGGGGCTGACAGTTCCCCATCCACATGTCTTAGAATAACAGAGTTGCTAATTAGACATCAGTGAGACCAACGCGCCCATTCCTCAGGAGAGAGAATTGGGTACAGGGATGTTGTGTCTTAAGTTTTCACAGTGACTGAGGTAGGGGTGGATCCAGACCCCATGCTCTCCGAGCTTGCCAAAGAATGGCACCCTTTCTGCATTACCTTTCTGTTTCCTTTTCCTGACCATCTTCACATCCCTTTGCATCATATACTTCAAGTAAAGCGTATGATCCATCAGTGGTGAGTCATCCCTGGGCTATGATCCGAGTTGGTCCCTTTGTGCCTTTGACCTTACAGAATCGAGACGGAGGGGGAAAAGCAGGAGCTGTGGAAGTATACAATTGATAACGTGTCATCGCTCGCACAGCCGGAGGAGGAGGAGCGGGAACAGCGTGTGTTCAAGGATGTAAGAGCAGCTTCATTCCTAGGACCCAGGGGATGAGCCTGTGCCTGGGAGCTGAGACCAGTTCTGAAGTTGATGCCAGCAGTTGCTAAGTGAAACCTTGCTCTTAGCAAGATTTGACTTAGATGCTAGGAAGCGTTACTGATGAATCTATCAGGCAGCAGTGTTTTTGTTCACATTATAGCGTCATAATCATGATTGTTTTAAGGAGCTCTGGTAGTGTAGTGGTTACGAATCGGGCTGCGAACCTTAAGGTCAGCGGTTCGAAACTACCAGCTGCTCCGCGGGAGAAAGATGAGGCTTTCTACTCCCGTAAAGATTTACACCCTCGGAAACCCTGTACAGGGTCGCTGTGGGTCGGAACCGACTCGACGGCACTTAACAACAACAAATCATGATTGTTTATTGAGCATTCTCCATGCTCGGTTCTAGACACGTGGCTCAGCTGAGTTCATTTAGACTTACAGCAACCCTGTGAAGCAGATAATGTTATTATCACTAATTTATAAATGAGGAAACTGAGATTGAGAAGCAAAGCAGTCTGCCCAAGATCACACAGCTTGTTAAGTGCTGGGGCCAGGATTTGAGCCGGGAGCCTCTGTCCTTCCCTTTAAAATGCCAGTGAGCAGGATGCTTCGGTCTGCAGCGCCCTCTGGCTTTCCCCGTTGTTGCTGCTTTTCTCCACCCCATGCAGACTGCGCATAGGGCTGGCTTGGTTCACATCTTGAATTTGGGTTTGGTTGGTTTCCTCAGCTTTATGGTCGGCACAAGGAGTACCTCAGCAGCCTCGTGGGCACTGACTTTGAGATGGTGAGTTGCTTGGCTTCCGGTAGCACTGAGCTGTTTGTAAGCAGCACATTCCACCGTGGATGAATGACAGTGCCTCTCAGCACAGCCTCTTCAGTGAAAAAAGGAAGTAAAAAAATAGCAGCGACTTTAATCCTATTAGTGGGTTTGAAAACGATGCATCTTGATAAAGAATTGTTGACACACAAAGTTCTGACCACACACTTACTAACAGGGACTTTTCTCTGGGGATGATGGGTACATGGCTTTTGAGTTGTGAGAGGGAGGTGTAGTGTTTTTACCTTTGTCTCTGTACTTAGCTTTTTCGGAAATGTCATGGCTCTGTAGGACAAGCACAGGACTGTGAACCACAAGGCCGATGGTTCAAGCCCACCAGCTGCACCAGGGCAGACAGATGAGGCTTTCTACTGCAAAGATTTACAACCATAGAAACTCTATACAGGGTCACTATGAGTCAGAACCGAATCAAGGGCACTGAACAGCAACATAACAACAATACTTAGTTTTATGTTTACATTTAGCATTCATTTTACATTTTTTGTCAGTGGTAATGCATTCATGTTATTGTTGTTAATTGCTGTTGAGTCGATTCATACTCATAGCCACCCTGTGTAGGGTTTCCAGGACTCCTGGTGTGGCGCTGTAGGATAAGCACTGGACTGCGAACCACAAAGTCAGTGGTTCAGCGGTTCAAACCCACCGGCTACTCCTTGGAAACTCTGTCTAGGATTGCTATGAGTCAGAACCAACTCGAAAGCACTTACCAACAACAACATAGAGTTTCTGAGGAGTGACCAGTGGGTTTGAACCACTGGCCTTGTGAATAGTAGGACTTTATAATTTTGAAAATGTAAAAGAGAAAAATCACTTCCTCATGTTTCATGTGGGTATTTTTTCCTAAGTACTTCATAGAAAGGGTGTCACTGGTTTGTCAAATATTATGCCTCTTCAAAAACAAAACCATTTAGGTCAATTATTCTGTGGTCCAGGTTTTTGTCTTCCTTCATTCCAGAGGTTCCGTTTGAAGATCTGGAAACAAAGATAGAATTACTCACTGTTCTTCTCTCTGAAAAATTAACTTGTAATGCTTTTGTATTGCATAAACATTATTTAGAGCTTTAAAAGTTAGTTAAGACAGATAAACACATAAAAGAAAAAAAACCCTTGGTTTTGTGATCTCAGCCATCAAAAGGGAATAGGGGTCTTCAACTTTCTACTGTGCTCAAAAAGTTGATATTATTGTTATGCTTATAAATTTCCCATACTGATTTACATTGAAATTATGCACTTTCCCCCACTTTGTTAACGTCATCAATAAAAGGATCAGGGTGGGAAGGGGGATCCTGTAGTAACAAACCAGGGCTTCTGTCCAGGGTCAGGCTTGGGCTTTGTAGACAGGACTCAGGAGATGTGCTGGTTTCCTAAGACCTCCTGACCGCTTCCCACTTCTCTCACCTAGACTGCGCCAGGTGCACTCCGGCTCTTTGTAAACGGAGAGGTTGGTAAGTGTCTTGTCAGACAGACATGTCTTAATGCTTGGGCAAGTGTCAGATGGAGCTGTGACATCATCTGCCCCACCCTGGTGGAGGCTTTGGGCTGTCTGCATGATGTGCTAAGCTCAGGGATGCTTCTTCCCTGGAAACATGGAGGGCTCCTGGAGCATGTAGGCTGCTTAGTACCGGGCTGGCTGGGTGCTAAGGGTGCTAGGGGAATAAGCTGAAATCGTTTCATGTTCTCTCTTGTAGTTTCAGCCCAAGGCTATGAGTATGATAATCTCTACGTTCACTTCTTTGTGGAATTGCCAACTAGTAAGTAAGAGTCCTAAATCTGTTTTTATGCCTTTCCTGACCGCTTTCCAGAGACCGTCCTTCCTCGCACCCCCACTAAAACTGTTACTTCTCTCTTCAGGGTCATGTATCGCTTCCATGTTGCCAGATCCAGTGGGGGCTTCCTTGCTTTTACCTCACTTGACCTCTCAGAAGCATTTGCCCCAACTAACTTTTCTTCTTTTAAACTCTTTTCTCGTCATCTGACTTCTACGCTCCCCTCTTCTCCTCAGAGTCATTGACCGACTCCTCCTCTTCTGTGAACTCAAAACATAAGCATATCCAAGGCTGAGGCTAGTCCTTCTGTTACTCTGCCTATAGTCTTCCTAGGTGGTTCTGCCCAGTCGTATGGTGATAAATACCATCTCTATGTCTTGGGCCCCTGACATGTAGATGATATTTCTCTCTCAGCCTTGACCTCTTCTCTGAAATCCAGACTCACCCAGTTACCTACCTCGTTGACATCTCTGTTTAACATGACCCAAAAGAACTCTTGATTCCCCCTTCTCCCTTAGAACTTCCCTCCCCTAGTCTTCCCCATCTTAGCAGAAAGGTAACATTTTTTACTTAGTTGCTGGTACCAGAACCTAGGAGAACTTCTTGATTCCTACACCCAGTGTATCAGCAGTCCTGTCAGCTCACGCTTCAAAAATTGTCCTAAATCTGTCTGGTCCCTCTAATACCCAGGACCAGGTCACCATCAGCTCTTCCTAGGCCAGTGCATTGTGTTTCTAACTTAGCCTCTTACTTCCTCTCTGGCTCCCTCTTCCAGTCCATTTGCCACACACCTCATAGCCAAATGGAGTTCTGAAACATGGAAACCAGTTGTGTCTCTTGGGCTTAAACCCTAGAGTTAAATCCAAACTCCTTACACTGAATGAGTGACCCCTACTGTCTCTCTTTACAGTAATCCAGCCACACTTTCTTTCTAGTCATGAGCATGCCAAGTTCATTCCCACTTTAGACCCTTGGCAGGATCATTTCCTTTGCTTGAGGTCCTTTGCAAGTTTCTTTTTTTTTGCTTTTTAGTTCCAGTTTAAGTGTCACCCCTCAGAGAGGCCTTCTCTGACCATGCAATCAAAATTAGCATCTCAAGTCACTCAATCCCTTTAACCCCCTTGATTTTTAATATAGAGGTCATCAGTAGCTACCTGATAGCTTTTTCTTATCTCTTTTCCTCCATTAGAATGTCTGGTCCATCCGAGACAGGAATCTTTCCTATCTGGTCACCCAGGTGTCCCCAATGTCTGGTCATAGCACATAATGGAAACTCAGTAAATGGTGAATGAATGAATAAAGAAACTTTGCTTTTTCTCAGCTACTTGCCCTCTTCCCAGGTGAACTTGCTATGTATGTGTGGTTTTTGTCTTTCAGGCTGGTCAAGCCCAGCATTCCAACAGCTTTCAGGAATAACACAGACCTGTACCACCAAATCCCTGGGAATGGTATGGAGGATTAGAGGGCATAGCTGAAGGGACAGGAGTCTGCTCCTGGGGTGGCATTGAAGCTTTATCTGGCCAACAACCGTGTACACTAGGGAGAATTATTGTGTTGGACCTGCCATCCTTTGAGGGCCCTGGAGGGCTGCCTGGTCCAGGGACTGCTCTGCCTTTCTGAGCCGCTCTCACTTCCTACCTGGGGTGAATTTCCCTGTGAAGAGTAGCCTGTGTCTGGGCACGGGCACTGGGAGAACATGTGCCGTGGGAAGCCTGACCGCGCACCTGATACCAAGTGTAGACACATTCCTCTCTTAGGACAGGGTGGCGCATTTCTCCTACCCCTTCACGTTTGAGGCCTCTTTCCTCCACGAGGACGAGTCTGCTGGTGAGTAGTCACCAGTGATCCTGGGCCATGGGTCTCCTCAGCCAGCACCCAACTCTTTGAGCTGACTGGCTCTTTTCCCTTGCTCCCAGATGCTCTCCCAGAGTGGCCTGTGCTCTACTGTGAGGTCCTGTCACTGGACTTCTGGAAGAGGTATCGTGTGGAAGGCTATGGGGCCGTGGTGCTGCCTGCCAACCCAGGTAACCCCTTGTCCTTGCCCTTCTGGTGGTCACATGGGAACCAAACTAACACTTCTAAAAGATTTGATGGGAAGTAGAGTCCTGGTGGGGCACTGGAAGACAAACACTGGACTGTTAGCTGTAAGGTCAGTGGTTCAAACCCACGAGCCATTCCTCGGGAACACTTACAGGGTCGCTATAAGTTGACGATACTTAACAACAGCAAGAGATAATTAGGAATTAGAAGCAATGAACTTGAAAGATTCCGAGCTCCTTTTAAGACATTCATTCTCCTTCCATGAAAGAAAACTAAGTGAGATGTAGAACTAACTCCCCAGTGGTGGGCGGCCTGACCGTCTATGCTGTCTGCGTGCCATGTTACAGCCTTGAGGGAGAAACTGTGTGATCAAATAGGCTCCCTGCGCATGTGTATTGAATGGAGCCATTCATTTTCAAGTAATGGCAACTACGTTTTATGGAGGAGCCTTGGTGGTGTAGTGGGTTGTGCGATGGACTGCTAACCACAAGGTCAGCAGTTCAAACCCACCAGCTGCTCTGTGGGACAAAGATGAGACTGGCTGTTTCCATAAATGCAGCCTTGAAAACCCAAAGGGGCAGTTCTCCTGTGTCCTATGGGGTCACTATGAGTGGGAATTGACTCAATGGCAGTGGACTTGGTTTTTTTGGAGGGGTCTGTGTTTTATTGTGTGCCAGGCATTGTGTTGTGTTTCTCATTTAATTTTCCAACTATTCTGTGCGGTATATAGGTATATGTAGTTCTGTAGGAGAAGCACATGACAGCTAACTTCAAAGTCAGCGGTTCAAACCTACCAGCTGCTCCTTGGAAGCCCTATACAGAGTTGCTATGAGCCAGAACTGACTTGTAGGCACTCTGTTTTACTAGATGAGGAAAATGAAGTTTAGAAAGGTTACTAAACTTCTCTTGGATACACAGATAATAAGTGGCAGAACTGAGATCTGAATTTATGTCTGATTAATTTCAAAATGAGTACTCTTAACCACCATGATAACCTTTATCAGAAACCAGGTTACCTCACCAGGTATAAGGAGCCCTGTTGGCATAGTGTTTAAGCATTCAGCTGCAGACCATCACAGAAGAACGACCCAGTAGTGGGTTTCCATAAAGATGCACAGCCTCGGAACCCCTGTGGGGCACTTCTACTCTGTCCTATTGAGTTGCTATGAGTCAGAACTGACTCAGCAGCCCTGGGTTTGGGTTTTTGGTATGCTGCCTCGTTGCTCGGCAGGCAGGGAGGGACCAGATGCCCTTTTGGGACCTGACCCCATTCTCTGCATCCCTTGTACAGGTTCCCACACCCTGACAGTGTCTACATGGAGACCCATGGAGCTGGGCACGAAGGCTGAACTGAGGAGGTTTTTCATTGGTGGTTCTCTGGAACTGGAAGACCTTGCCTACGTGAGGGTACCAGGAACCTTTAAGGTAATGTTTGTGTCTCCGAGACTCCTTGCTGGAAACTCTCCTTCCTGTCTTCTGTTCTGTAGCAGGTGGGGTCTGGGTTCAGATGCCGTTGTTACTCATTGCTTCAGTATTACTTAGCCCCTGCCTTCCTGTGGCTAAGTGGAAGTCTTGGCCACATTGTGAACCAGGCACAAATGTCTACACTGTCTCAGGAGCTCTCTGGGAAATATCCTTAGAGATTTCTTACTGACTTCATCAGAGTAATGGCTTTCTCCCATGCCACTGCACAGCTTCAGTGATTAGTGAGGAGCTCTGTCAGCAACAACACAGAATACCGGACCAAGCAGGCTCAGGGGATGGTGCCAGAACTCTGAACCTCATATAAAGGAATATTTAGAAGGTTGGAAGGCTTACAGCTAGGGGAATTTGTAGAAGAAGCAAGAAATCCACTGCTTTCTAATCCAAGATGCTCAGATGCTCCCAGAGCCGCCATCTTGGGTGAGACCAAGCAGGGGACGGATCAGAGCAGCAATGGATGCCTGACAGAACCATGGAGATAAAGGTGTGGACAGTTTTTATGTTGTTTTTTGGTATCTGTTCATTTGTGTCTCGCTGTCTGCGCACCTCCATTCTGGTGACAAGAGAGGGGGTACCTGAGCGAGTGGACACCTCACTCCTTCCCCTAGAGGGTTCTACTACACATGTGCACAGATCTCCTGGAAATATAAAATGACAGTTTCCACTTAAAGCCAAACGACAGTGCAAAATGGCCACAGCCGGCCCTGAACTGTTTATCACTAGGAAAAAGTCCTGAGTGGTGATTGTGGAGTGGAACAGGCAGACTAAAAAGCAAATAGGCTGAAAATTAAATACTGAGTTATGTCACAACAACCTACAGTGACATCTTGATATTTCTCAGGAAGAAGAGTAAAAAGGGAAGCCCATCTCCTGATTATATCTACCTGGAGGCAATCAGAAAGCATAAGAAATACCAAAATACACACTCATCTAAGTATTAAGGCCACAGATAACTCCTAAATATGCCCAAAAGACAGAAACAGATGACCATATCAGCACATGTCCAGAAACGAGATAAAGTGACTGAAGCAAATGAGCTGGCAGTAGACCTACACTCCATATTG